GTTGCTAAGTCTGTAGGGCTCTGTGTCTGGCACCAGGCTGGGCCCCATGACCCGGGCAGGGATACCCTTGGGACACTTAGTGACTTCCGCTCAGCGCTGGGCCAAGCATCTACACATGCCAGGCCTCAGGCCTCTGCCTGGCATACGGTGGAAGATGCCAGAATCAGGGGAGGGGGTTCTGACCCCAGGCCTGGTTGTACCCCAGCTCCCCAACCAGGTCATTTTCAGGGGCCTGAGTGCAGATGGGAAAGCAGGAGAGGGAGAGAGTGCTGTTAAGAAGAAGGGGGAAGGGAGAGGAAGGGGAAGGTGTGGTGGGTGGAGCGAGACCAAGAATGTGAGCACTTCTGGTCGGAACTCGTGTTTATCCGAGGCTGTCTGGCTGTCTCAAGTATGTATGACTGAGTTACCTGAGCACTTCACCTCAAGAGTTTTATTTCCCCGTAAATCAAAGAAGACAGATTATACCTGCCCCGCCTCGCTCACGTCTGATCCTATGTAATACAGGATCAGAGGGAGTCACAGAGGTGATCATGCTTTGTAAAGCGCTCTGCCTCGGGGAGGGCTCGTACAGGAAGGGCATCCTGTCCAGGGATGTCCACAAATTCCAGTTCTCAGGTGGCAGAGAAAAGGGTCGGGAGAGGTTTTGAGGGCCAACATTCGGGGAACCTAGGCTGCGTGGCTCGATTGATACAAAAGGCAAGAAACCTGTTCACCGATGTTTCTACGTAAACCCCGTCTTCTGGAGCCAGTCCTGTGTGCTTCCCGGCCCTCCTCACTCTACAGGGTTAGGGACTAGCAGCAGCATCTCAGAGAGGTCAGGAGCATCGTGCAAGCAGCCGCCCTTTGCTTCTCAGATGAGTAATAACAGCTGACATGTACACACAACTCTATACCAGGCAGTGCTGTATTCAGAGCCACACTGCTGATAAATGGAGGAGCAGGGATTTGGAGCCAGGAGTCTGGCTCCAAGGTTCGTGTTAACCACAAGGGTGTGCGGAAGCCCACACAGGGCAGGTTTGCCCACGGACCTGTGGTTGGGGACAGACCTTGGCTCTGGGGTCAGGCCTTTGTGACACCAGCCAAGGAACTAGTGTTCCCGGCCTCCCAAGCCACGCACCCCCGGCCTCTCGGTGCCTTCTTATCGCACGCCCTCATGTTCTTCCAGGAGCAGGTAACTGGGAGCCTAGGCACACCTGGGCCCAAGTAAGCAGAACTGGGACCTCGGGGTGCTCATCTGTGGGGATGAAGTGCTTGGGTGACTGGGGACAGGATAGCAGGGTGGGGAAGAGGTGATGCTAGGCACACTGTGTGATTAGTGAGTATTTGTTTACAGTTGTCGCCCCTCATCCAGCGGCTATGTTCTAGGACCCCAGCTCGTACCTGAAACCAGGGACAGTACTGCATCCTATACATAGTGTTTTTCCTAAACACATATATCTGTGCATTTAAAGGAAGCACTTTACTACTTGTCTTTGGCATGTCCAAATCGCTAGCACCATTAATGGTGCGCATTGGGGCCAGTATTAAGTAAAATAGGGCTTACTTTTCTTTTAATCCTCACTGCAGGATATATTACTGATTTTAGAGAGAGGAAGTGGAGGGGGAGAGAGAGAGAGAGAGAGAGAGAGAGAGAGAGAGAAAGAGAAAGCGAAGCATCAATCAGTTGCCTCCCCTATGCACCCTGACCAGGGATCGAACCTGAAACCTAGGTATGTGCCATGACAGGGAATCAAACCTGTAACCTTTTGGTGCACCAGATGATGTTCCAACCAACTGAGCTACCCGGCCAGGGCTAAGGGTTATCACAACAATGGATCTGATAAGCCAGATGCTACCTAAGTGACTTACGGATGGGTAGTGTATACAGTGAAGATATACTGGACAAAGGGATGATTCATGTCCCAGGGGGACAACACAAGATTTGATCACACTGCTTAGAATGGCACACAATTTAACACGTATGAATTGTTTATTTCTGGAATTTTCCATTCGGACCACAGTTGAGCGTGAGTGAGTGAAATCTTGGAAAGCAAAACCACAGATAGGAGGGAGACTACTGTATTTGTTGAATGAGTAGCTGAATGGATGCGTTTGGATTGGGGGTTGGGCAAGGGGTGCAGGGATGGGGGAGGGGTGGGGTCCAGGAACTGGATTTGAAGGAAGGCCTGGCACTAACGTGCAGACTCTTCCCATTGCCCTCAGACACCACTCACCAACAGCGAGGAGTCCCTGGACTTCAGTGTGAGCCTGGAGCAGGTACAAGCCTGAGAGTGGAGCTGGGGGGGCGGGGGTGGGGCGCAGCATGGCCAGCGGGTCAGGGCCTGAGCCAACTGTGCTGCCCGCCCCCCAGGCTTCCACAGAGCGGGTGCTCAGGGCGGGGAAGCAGCTGCATCGACATCTCCTGGCCACCTGCCAGAACCTCATCCGAGACAGAAAGTACCACCTTAGGCTCTATCGGTGAGTAGAGGCCTTGCCGGCCTCCTGGCCCAACCCCTCTGTTTTTCTCTTCCTTTTCATTCTATTCCTGGCATCTGGGCCTGGCCCTGCTTCTAGCAGAACTGGGGCTGGGCCTAGGAAGGTGCCTTTTGGATGGACAGTTGCTCCCTCTCTCCTCTCCCCTCCTGCCATTTGACTGTCCCCTTAACTCTTGTAGGCAATGCTGCTCAGGCCGGGAGCTAGTGGATGGGATCTTGGCCCTGGGGCTTGGGGTACATTCACGGAGCCAAGCCGTGGGAATCTGTCAAGTCCTGCTGGATGAAGGTGCCCTCTGCCATGGTGAGCCTGAGCCCAGTGCAGGGCATCTGGGGCTGGGCAGTCCTGGGGAGCGGGCATCTGGGTAAGGAGGGATGAGCATTGTAGTAGGGCCTCAGACCCCTCAGCCTCAATTTCCTCTCCTCCCCCATGTCTGGGCCTCTTCCCGCAGTGAAACACGACTGGACCTTCCAGGACCGAGACACCCAGTTCTACCGTTTCCCGGGTCCAGAGCCGGAGCCCTCGGGAGTCCATGAGCTGGAGGAAGAGTTGGTTGAGGCCATGGCCCTGCTCTCCCAGCGGGGACCGGATGCCCTGCTCACTGTGGCACTTCGAAAGCTGTGAGTTGGCACCCTGCACCCTGCACCCCGAGACCCCAGGCCCCACACAACTCCCAGACCTCATAGCGTCTCAGTTTTGTCTCCGAGGGGCTCCTTTACTTCTCACTGAGAGACAGGACCTTCATTGGATCAGAGGCCTGAGCTCTGACCTGCATTCTGCCAGACTTGCTGGGTGATCTGAGCCCTCCTTCCCCACTGAGCCCGTTTCTTCCTCAGTAACTGAGGGTGTGGGGCACGAGGCCTCTGAAGACCCTGCCCGCTCTGAGTGGCAGCAATGGCTGAGAGAGGGTGGGCTCACGAGTCCTCAGGCAGGTCTGGGTTCAAATTCTGGTTCTACTGGCTGCGAGCTGGGTGGCCTCGGGCCTTTCCGTGCCAGCTTCCTCTTCCGTCAAAGGAAAACAAGAATGCCCGCGTCACGGGTTGTCGTGAGGACAATTGAAATGATGCGTGTGAAGCACTTAGTCCTGTGTCTGGCACAGTGTGACCTGGGGAATGGCTGGCCATTGGTGATAACAATCCTTGCTGAGGCACCGGCTGGCCTCAGGCCTATGCTTTGTGGGTGAGTGGTCCCAGCCCTGGTCCCAGCTGGAGTTCATCCTTTGCTTTCTGGTCCTCCCTGGCCCGCAGCCCAGGGCAGCGCACGGACGAGGAGCTGGAGCTCATCTTTGAGGAGCTGCTGCACATCAAGGCTGTGGCCCACCTCTCCAACTCGGTCAGTCGCAGGCCCTGCCCCGCCCCACCCTGCCCTTTCCCCAGGAGCCTCCTCTCCTGTGACCACCCCAGGAGTCCAGGAGTCCGCCAGCTGCTGGCCCAGAAAACACGTCCCTCCCCTTCTGCCTATGGCTTGGAAATTTCCATCTAAACTGCTGTTCCCAGATCCTTGTCTGAAAACCCTCTGCCTCTCTTAGCCCTCCCCCTCCCCCCAAATCCCAGGCCACCTGGCCTAGCCACACCTCTGCCCCTGGGCACTCATGTCTTTGGGCCTTCCCTCCTCACCCCTCACCTGGCCCTCTGCCCTGGACTTGCCCACTGACCCCCCTCTCCCTCCCCACAGGTGAAGCGGGAATTAGCAGCAGTTCTGCTCTTTGAACCCCACAGCAAGGCGGGGACTGTGTGTAAGTCAGACAGTTGGCAGGAAGCTGGGCACCGGGGACCTGGATATGGTGGGGGGCCCCAGCGAGGTGGTGGGTGCTGGGGCGTGTCTGACCTGTGCTCCCCTCAGTGTTCAGCCAGGGGGACAAAGGCACCTCGTGGTACATCATCTGGAAGGGATCCGTCAATGTGGTGACCCATGGCAAGGTGAGTGCGCCCAGCTCCCCAGCCCCCTGGGTGGTAACTGCTCCCTGGCCGTCCCCACGGGCAGTGCCTCTGGTGGACCCAAGGCTGCTGACGCCCAGGTCTTCTCGTGCCTCGGAGCTTCTCCCCGCTGTGGCTCTGTTTCATGAGGGCTGGGGCTGCGCGGGCGGTGACTGAGGCCTGGCTCCAGGGGCTGGTGACCACACTGCATGAGGGAGATGACTTCGGACAGCTGGCTCTGGTGAACGACGCACCCCGGGCAGCCACCATCATCCTGCGAGAAGACAACTGTCATTTTCTCCGAGTGGACAAGCAGGACTTCAACCGTATCATCAAGGTGCCATGGCTGGGGATGGGGAGGGCAGGGGACTGGCAAGCAAGGTTCTCTGGAGAAGTGTGGAGCAGGGCAGGGACCAGAGAGAGCCTGTGAGGGGCAGGGAGCGAGGAGATGGAGAAGCTCAGAGATGATGGCTGGAGGCGGGAGCCCAGCCTGGGGGTGTGAGGAAGTCCACAGCATGCTGATGAGGTTCCATAAGTCCATGAACTATGCTCTATGTGGGAGACCATGGGAGCAGTGGGGCTACCGAGGGGTGGGGGACTAGGGTGTGAGGGGGGCAGTTTAATGGAGGGTGGGATCCATGGAGGGAGGGTGGGGAGGGATGGAACAGAGGAGGGGCTCAGGCTGTGTGATAAGCAGGGGTGGGATGAAGGGCAGATCCAAGTGGTGGGTGTTGAATAGAGTGGGAGAAGGGCTGAGGGTCCCTGTGGGGCTCAGGATTTGAAAGAGGGAAGTGTGGGGAGAGGTGCCTGAGATGGGGAAGGGGCATGGTGTGTGCTGAGCACTGGGTGTGTCTTGTTCTTCAGGACGTGGAAGCAAAGACCATGAGGCTGGAAGAGCACGGCAAAGTGGTGTTGGTGCTGGAGAGAACCTCTCAGGGCACTGCCTCTTCTTGCCCTCCAACCCCAGGCAGGAACCGGTAACATACCCACCAAGCTCCCTCTCCACCTTCTCTCCTCCTTTTCCCAGGCTTTACTCCCTTCCTCCATGTCATACCCCTGCCTGCTGGCCTCCTGGGTAGAGAGACATCCGGGACTCAGATGTACCCCTGAATAGCCACCCCTCCACCCCTAGGTGGGGCTGGGCAGACAAATAGGGAAGAGTGATATGACTGATTACTGCCATCTGTCCGGGTTGTGGGAGGGGGGTGGTGGCACCAGGGCATGGATTGGCCATTTCTACCAGGTATACAGTGATGTCTGGCACCCCGGAGAAGATCCTAGAACTGCTGTTGGAGGCCATGAGGCCTGATTCCAGTGCTCATGATCCAACAGGTAGGGACAGGAGACACCTGCCTGTCTGACTCATCAGGTGGTCAGCGCAGCCTACGAGAGGGCTGGGCACCTGCCTCTGACCTGATTGGGTGCCGGCTTGGTCCGTGGGGCCAGTTGGCGGTAAATCCTCATTCCTGTGCTCTTGGCTTGGGTAGGGAGTGCAGTCACAGGGGCTGGGCATTAGTGGTACTTTGACCATGGCAGCATTGGGGGATGGCACTCCAGCTGTGCGTGTACCTGTGTCCAATGGGCTTGACCTCTGAAGCCCCACCTGCTACCTGTCTCCCATCCTGCCTGCCCTACAGAGACGTTCCTCAGTGACTTCCTCCTGACCCACAGAGTCTTCATGCCCAGCACCCAGCTCTGCGCTGCCCTCCTGCACCAATATCCTTCCAGCCCCAGGGATGGTGTGTGGAGTGGGGAGAAGGGATCGCTCATAGCATGGCTGTGCCGAACCCTTCTAAGTACCAGCCTCATGCCAGGCCTGTCGGCACCTTCCTCTGCCTGAGCTGCGGGGGGTGGCTCAGTTGGATGCTGTGGTTTCCTTGACTGGCGCCCACCTTCCACGCGGAGCCCGCGGGAGGCAGTGAGCAGGAGCGCAACATCTACATCTGCAACAAGAGACAGCAGATCCTGCGGCTGGTCAGCCAGTGGGTGGCCCTGTATGGCCCCATGCTCCACACTGACCCCGTGGCCAGCAGCTTTCTCCAGGTACCTGGGAGTGAGGCAGGCTGGCCAGGGCTGCCCGGGTGGACACGGCTACAGCGTCTCAGTGCATCTTGGCTCCTCCCAGAAACTCTCAGACCTGGTGAGCAAGGACGCCCGGCTTAGCAACCTGCTGCGGGAGCACTGGCCGGAGAGGCGGCGGCACCACCGGTAACTTTGGCTCTAAGTTAACTTGTCGCATGCATGACAGGCAGCGCCTCGCCGACTGAGCACACCAACTCTGAACTGAAACCCAGGCCCTACCACTCACAGCTGTGCTGTCCTGAGCACGTGACTGCACCCCCTCCACCCCCCCAGGACTTCGGGCTCCTGTCTATAATGTGGGGGAGCACCTACCTCATTGCACGGGCGAGAGGTACTGCTCCTTCCGAGGGCAGAGCAGTGCCTTGCACATGTGCATGCGAATGTTGCCTGTCCCTGCTCATTTGTCTAGTCGTGCTTGTTTCAGTGAGTTGTTCCCACCAGTCCCTTGCTGTTCACCCTCATGTCAGGGCTCAGTCATTCTCACACATCAGTCATTTGTGTGTCACTCTCCTGTCCCGAGTGCACCTGCTGCTCTCACTTCCTCCATCCCCCACCTATTTATTACCCAGCACCATTGGTGCCGGTTCCTGCCAGCCCCACCCAGTAAAGCTCCTAGACTATTTTCCCCTTCCCAGATGTTGCCATGGGGACAGCTCACTGAACCGTCTGACCCCTGGGCCCATTTCCCCCTTGAACTCCTTTTCCCTCCCCTGTTGGCCTGGGGAAACCAGGATCCAGGGCCCCAGTTTCAGCCCCTTTGCCCCTTTTTAGGGGACATTCACCAAGTCTACGAAACTCTGCCCCTGGGGTGAGGGCGGATGGGACCCAGAGCTCCGGGCACCTCCCTGCTCCTGCCTGGCCTCCAGTCTCACCCCCTTCTCCCTTGCTCCACAGGTTGGAAAATGGCGGTGGGAGCACATCTCCTCAGATAAAGGTGTCTGCTCGGAATCGGCTCCTCTCGCCTCTGTCAGCCTCAGCTTCTTCCCTCTGCTCCCCCGTGACTGTAGGGTCCTCCTTCATCCCCCTTCTGAGGGGTCCTGTGTGGAAGGTTCCCACGCACAGACACCCCTCATGTCCCAGGTCCTACGGGGACACTGAGGTTTAAGGTCACCCCTTCACCCCACCACCACCCTTAGACCCAGTTAGCAGTTCCCACCAGGTGAGCCTCTGAGGCCCAGCGGCTCCTGGTGGCCAGTGTGGGAGCCCAGAGGAAGGCAGACCCTCCTGGGAGTCAGAGGTGGCCAGTGCTGCTCCGGGGGGACCCAGGGGTCAAAGAGGGACTGGAGCTGAGATTTGGTCGAGGAATGGTGGGGAAGGGACTGGAAAGGTAGGTTGGGGCTGACTGTGGGGAGTGCTGCATTGGGAATAAAATCTAAAAGCCTCCCCCGGGCTTCCGGGTCTCCCCGTGCCTCTCCCGCCTCACCCCGCCCCACCTCCCCCTCGCTGCTGAAGACACTCATGGGCCCCTTCTCTTCTGTAGGTGAAGCTTGTTCCCACCTCGGGGCCTGGACCTTTCTTTCTCTGGCTCTTTGACTACCTGGATCCTTCCTATCGTTCTGATCTCAGCCAGAGTGTTGGGTTTCCAGAGAGGCCCCTTTCCATCTCTCTATGCAGAGCAGCCCTCCACTGGCCACTGGCCTGCAAGGTGTCTACTGTGATTTTCTTCAAAGCAGGATCACCATGTGGAGTTGTTGTATTTGTCTAGTTGCTCATTGGCTATTAGTATCACATCCCACTAGACCGCTGGGCTCGCGTTGCTGCCTGTGGCTGGCACTCGGGAACCGCGTGGAATGGTCCTCATGTGCCAGACACTGTGTAGGAGCCTGCGAGGCAGTCCTGGGCTGGGAGAGCCAGCCGTGGCCTTAAGGGTCAAGCGAGGGACCATCTTATGCTCAAGGCTAAGACGGGGGTCTGAAAGCAGGGAAGGGAATGGTTGACTCAGGGTCAGGGTCATGGTCAGGGAGTGTCCTTGAGAAGTAACTGTTGGAGCTGAGAGCTGCACGGTGTGAGGGGGAGGGGCCCACTGAGAAAGGGCTGTGGGTTTGACAGGACAGTTGACATAGCTGGTAGATAAGGGCACAGGACGAGGGAGGAGCGGGTGAGGATTTCAGCTGGGCCACTTAACAGCTGTGCTGCCTTGGGCAGGCTCCTTAACCTCTGTGAGCCTAATTTATCTATAAAATGGGAATAATAATATTATTTTTGTCAAAGGATGATTCTGAATATTTAGATACTTGGAATAAGCGTGTCCATAGCCTGGCATGTAGCAAATAGCAAATGGTAGCCGAAGGGGGAAGGGAGGAGAAAGACAGCTGAGGTGTGTTCACACTAGAACAACTCTGGGCTTTTTTGGCAGAGGGGGTGACACGTAGGGGGGCACACCCTCATTCCTAGCCGCCATCTGTCTCTTTTCCTGGAGCCTTGGTCCCAGGGTCTCACCTGGCTCAGGTTCCCTCAGCAAGCAGGGCTTGTTGGTGTGCATGCTGTGCAGGTCCCATGCTCCCAGTGACAAAGGCCCCTCCCTGGCCCTGCATGCTCTCCTCTGTGTCCTCCCGGCCTTACTTTCTCTCCCTCTCAGGCCCGGAACATGTCTGTTTGGCTCCCCGGCCCGGACGAGTCCCTCCCCAGCAGCAACTGTGCCATCCGAGTTGGAGACAAAGGTGGGTGGCCTGCACCAGCCAGGGTATAGTTCACACCCTGCTGTGGTCACCCTTGACAACAGTGTGGCAGGCCAAGGATGGCACCCTGTGCTCCTCGGGGCCTCAGGTCCAGCCTCCCCCTCTGCTGGGCTCAGGGCCTCTCCCTGCTCTGCACAGTGTGCCCACCCAGGCTTCTCCTTAGTGCCCTGGCCTGCTCCTTGGGGCCTCTCCCACTCTTTGCTGCCTTTTCTCTCCTGAGGTGGGGAGACCAAGCAGCCCCCTCCCACAGCTCAGCCTGATCTTCCTCTCCAGTCCCCTATGACATCTGCCGGCCAGACCACTCGGTGCTGACCCTGCAGCTGCCTGTGACGGCTTCAGTGAGGGAGGTGATGGCGGCGTTGGCCCAGGAGGACGGCTGGACCAAGGGGCAGGTGCTGGTGAAGGTCAACTCTGCAGGCGGTGAGTTGTGTGTCGAATAGGGTGGCCCCAAGGGAGGAGGGGCCCTCAGAGCCATGCCCAGACCCCCCAATTAAAATCATCATCTTTATTGCCTCATCACTGTTCATGATGCCTGGCATTTGTGGGAGGTTGGTGACGTCTCTTTAAAGTGCTTTAAATGTGGTGCTTGTCAGCATGAACTCTGGAGCCGCTGCCCACATCTGAACCCGGCTCTTTAGCGCCCTGTCTGCATGTCCTTGGGCACACAGGGTGCTTCATCTCCCCATGCCCTGTTTTGTCATCTGTAAAACGGGGCTGAAAAGAGGACATGCTTCATAGAGGAATTGTGAGGACCACATGGCTCATCTGTGGAAGTGTTAGAACAGTGTCTGGCACATAGCACTCCTTAGGTATTAGCTGCTACTGGTATTCTTATCATGCTTGTATATTCACTTCATCCAATAACAATATTATGAGATAGGTACTTTTGTCCTATCTCAGACAAGGAAACTGAAGCTCAAAGGGATTAAGTGATTTTCCCAAGCTCACATAGTGAGTGTAGCTAGCCTTTGAGTTAGGCATGGTGCCTGGTACAAAGCCAGGCTCAGAACATGGCAGCATGGATTTTTAAGACCTGCCTTCGGAGAACTTAAGGACATTAACAGCCACTGTTGCCTGTGAAGGATGCTGCCCAGGTCTGACCGCGGGAGCCCAGGGTAGGCTGGAATTAGGGGCGTCCAGAGAAGAAGGGCAAGGAGTAGAGGCAGAAAAGCAAAACCTTCTCCCTTCAGGACCTGTGGAGACAGGATGAAGTCACCTGTGCCTACGTGCTCTGGAAGCATTGCCCTCTGGTGGCCACCTGGAGAGTTGCGGTTGCCCAAAGCCAACATCTATTGATACCCTACTCAGAGCCAGGCGCTGTTTAGAGAACAGATTTCTAGAGTGTTGTGATCAACACCCTTGTCAGTAACCGATATTTTATTACAACCCCCCTGCTATGTGTATATTTTCTTATAAGTCATATACATGCATTCCTACACTAATGTTATGTAATTAAACTGGACACTAAATAGAGGTACAAAGCAGATGAGAAAACTAAATTTAAGCAGAAGAGCTAATATTTTTCCTGGACCTTACTGTGAGGCTATGGTCTAGGAACTGAGGACTCAAATGTGACTGAAAACACAGTCTCAGTCCACAAGAGCTGATGAACATCAACACCAAGACTTCTGTAAAGGCACTTCCCAATTTTCATAGAGCTTTTACATGTATCATATACGTGCAGCCACTATTTACATAAACTATTTCATTTGAATGCATAGTGAGGACAACTCTTATTGTCTCCATTTGACAAAGGAGGCTCAGGGGGGGCTCCCACCTTGCCCAAGGTCTTCCTGTCTCACTAAGCATCCCCTTTCCTTCCCCTCCGGGAGTGTGGATGTGTGGGCACGTGCACCTGTGCACTTAGAGCACCTGGCCAGGACTCTAACCCTGTTACTGAGAGAAGGACCTCCCAACCTCCCAAACAGGGCCTCCACCCTGCCTCCAGCTGCTCCCCGGCCTCACTCCCTGTCCCCACCCAGTGCATCCTCTGCTCTCTTTGCAGATGCTATTGGCCTGCAGCCAGATGCCCGTGGTGTGGCCACATCCCTGGGGCTCAACGAGCGGCTCTTTGTTGCCAACCCACAGGAAGTGCATGAGCTGGTAGGGTCAGGCAGGGTGCCAGGACCCAGGGCAGATCTGTGTTTTGGGGGTGGTAGGGATGGGCACTGAGGAGCGTGGGGCCTGGTCTGGCTGCTGCTGGGCCTTAAGTGGAGAGAGGAAGGAGTGGGTCTCGGCTGATGGGGTATTCCAAAGGGTGGGGAGGAGCAGCTGATTGGGAGCTCTCAAGGAGAAAGAGGAAGATCTTCCCCCATAGGGGCTCCCTAGGGGATAGGAGTCCTACAGGGAGGCGTCTCGGTATCAGGGAACTGTCAGGAAGATGCCTCCTTGGGAAGCCCTATCATCTAGAGGCCCCTTCGCTGCAGCACCCCTGCCCTCCCCAACACTCTTCTGCTCATGGGCACAGAGTCTACCCCAAACTCTTCTCCCACCTGGTACCTTTCCTCTGGACTCCTCGGGCACCCCCCTGAGTACTCTCCCCCCTGCAGACCCCACACCCTGAGCAGCTGGGGCCCACGGTGGGTTCCGCTGAGGGGCTGGACCTGGTGAGCGCCAAGGACCTGGCCGTCCAGCTGACGGACCATGACTGGAACCTCTTCAACAGCATCCACCAGGTGCGGGGAGCAGAGCTGAGGGCAGGACAGCAGGTGGCCGGCATCTTGAGTGGCCTGTGCTGATCTCTTGCGCTGTCCCCTCCCAGGTAGAGCTGATCCACTACGTGCTGGGCCCCCAGCACCTGCGGGACGTCACCACTGCCAACCTGGAGCGCTTCATGCGCCGCTTCAACGAGCTGCAGTACTGGGTGGCCACGGAGCTGTGTCTCTGCCCCGTGCCCGGCCCCAGGGCCCAGCTGCTCAGGAAGTTCATTAAGTTGGCAGCCCAGTGAGTGCCTGTGGGCATCCCCAGGATGTGTGGCAGAGTCCTTAGGCCACTTTTTCTTAAACCTCCCAGTCCCTGGTCAGGATGTTGCCAAATCTGGATGTTGTCTTGAAGTGGGGCTCTGTGGGTATGGCTGCTTCCCCTCAGGGTCTCTGGTTCTTCTGCTAACAGCCTCAAGGAACAAAAGAACCTCAACTCCTTCTTTGCCGTCATGTTTGGCCTCAGCAACTCGGCCATCAGCCGCCTGGCCCACACCTGGGAGGTAGGTGTTTCCTGGGGCTGGGGGGAGGCTGTGTGGCCAGGCCCTCCCCCCACCCCAGTCCTGAGGTTGGACCCCAAGCCCATCCTGGGGACAGGACCTTGAGCAGCCTCATCTCCATCTACCTCTCCTTCACAGCGGCTGCCCCACAAAGTCCGGAAGCTGTACTCGGCCCTCGAGAGGCTGCTGGTGAGTGTTGGGCTGCGACCTGCCCCTCCAGAAACCCTGCTCCTTGGCTTCCCAGCAGCCCCTCCACTTGTCCTTGGTCACTGCTAGGGTTTCCAGCCCTGAGCCGGGACCGGGTTCTCTCTTGCTGCTGGGGTCCAACCCCAGCAGGTCCAGGGATCCCCAAAGGTGTGGATGGAGTTGGCGAAGAAGGAATGACACGGAGACAGCGTTCAGATGATCATCATAGTGAGGTTCTCTAGCCAAGTTCTATGTCTAGGTTCTTCAGTAAGGTTCTGTAGGTTCTTCAGCCAAGTTCTGATTTGGTTCTCCAGCCAGGTTCTGGCGCCAGGTTCAGTAGCCAGGTTCAGTCACCAGGTTCTAGTCAGGTTCTCTTGGCATGTTCTATCCAGGTTCTGTAGCCAGGTTCTGTCTCTAGGATCTTCAGCCAGGTTCTCTCACTAGGTACTGTCTCTAGGTTCTGTTGCCAATAAGTGTATATTTAGGGAATAAGTGGTTTTATTCCCTCCCTAACTTCAGGGGGAAATCCTTACCTGGGGAAACAACCTTTCTCAGAGAGGTGACCTTGGTTAAAACACATAGTGCCAAGAAGGTGAGCAAACATATTAAGAACAGTATGCCATATATGCCAGGTCCGTTGAAATAGCAAGGATGGACCGGCTCCCGGCATCTTGCCTGTGAGTGTGGGGAGCTGGCTGAAGAATGGGTGTGTAGCATCATGGAGGGGCTGCATAGGGTAGTCTGTCCCCCAGGATGTGGGGATTAGGGAGGTACATTTGCTGTGGCTCTGAGGTCCTGTGTGAAGACCAGGACAGGCACATGCGGTATCTGGCCCTGGGTCTGAGGTGCCAGGGGAGCACCGGGACTCAGGAAGCAGGTCCCGGCACCAGCACCCACAGTGTGCCAGGGCCTGGCTCCAGGAGCCTGTGGTCAGACTAGGCCAAAAGGCGAGGAAAAAGTTGAGCGGAACTCCAACTCCCAAGAATTGTTGGGGGGTTGAAAGGTTTTGACACTGTTCAGGAGAGAACTGGCTCAGAGGTGTTCTTATCAGTATGGCTCTGGGAGCTCTTGAGCGAAAAATTCACCTGGTGGGGCTCAAGAGGGTAAAAGGAACTTACCTGCCAGAGATGGGGAGGGATGGGGGGTGGGGAGTGGAGACAGAAAGAGAGAGAGAGAGAGAGACAGAGAGAGAGAGAGAGAGATCCATGGAAGCTCAGGGCCCTGTGACTAATGGCTGTGAAGTTTCCTTGGCGGCTAATTGGAAGCCAGGAAGCCACATGCACACATGGCCTTCCCGCCTGCCACAGAGCCTGCCTTGGTGAGACCTGGGGCTGAGCAGAGGCTGAGCTCCAAGGGTGGGCATATGGCTCTTCTTTGGCGGGGGAGGGGGGGGCATTTGGTTGTGTTACGGTATGTGGTGAGCTATGGTGGGCGGGACCTTCTCTTTCTCACTGTGACTTCTTTCCTCCCAGGACCCCTCATGGAACCACCGAGTGTATCGACTCGCCCTCACCAAGCTCTCCCCTCCTGTCATCCCCTTCATGCCCCTCCTTCTCAAAGGTAATGAGA